GGGTCAAAAGATGGGACAAAAGGCTAAAAGGGAAATCTAGGTAACTTGTCCATCGGTAATCATGGTTTACAATAAATTCATGGGTGGTGTGGATCTTCTCGCTTCACTGTTGGCCGTATACAGGATACCAGTAAGGTCCAAAAAATAGTATCACTGTATAATATTCCACTTTCTGGATACCAGTATGGCAGTTGTGCTGGCATGGCTGATCTATAGGCTGATTGTACTAATGCGAATCGCGACAAAAAATATCCTCGGTGTACTTGATTTCAACACCAAGATGGCCATATGCCTAATGAAAGAAGGTAAAGCAGGGTTTAGGAAACTTGGCAGTCCTTTATTGGATATAGAGCCTCAACTTACAGCTAAAAATTTGAGTGGTCCTATTGCAGCTTTTCCACCCTTACCAGTAAGAGCTGATTATATTTGGCACTTTCCTGAGCCACTTGAAAACAAAGGAAGATGCAAGAGACCAGGTTGAAAAGAATTTTCAAGAATAAAATGTGCATAATGTAAAGTTGACATTGCTTCAAACAGTTCCACCAGCATTAAACCTGCATTTCACATATGTATATAAATATTTACTGTCCCTCTATATGCTCTATATATTGATTACATGATTTTCTATATTTTTGTGTAAAAAATGCTTATAAAATATGATTTTTATAATGATCTTTTTCATGATATAAAAGCATAATATGAAGATATGCTTGTAAACTAAGTACTGAGAACCATTGTTTGTGTAAACGATTAAATATTCACCTTTTACAAATATTATTGTTATCGTTTCCTTTTCTTGTTCAGTTTTACGTTTCTGACCTTTAAGACGCACTGTTGCCATATGGCAACATACCAATAAAATCATTATTTCATTTTAAAAAATTATTTTTCTTGCATATTATGTTTATTTAAGTCCAATAACTATGAAGTATGCCATCAAAAAAATTTTTTCCATAAAAAACTAAAATTGCGTAATAGAGGGTTAAACAAATTTTAAAAATTATCAACTATTATTAAATAAAACATTTTAGTTTAAAAAAATTAGCATTTCGTTTCTTAGAAAAATGGAGATTGTTATAATAAATGAGGTTTTCTAAATCTCTTTTATGATACTTTGGACTAAAATCAAGAAACTGAAATAAAAGCAACAGTTTTAAACAAAATCTAAAGCTTGACATACTCCTTAAAAATTTATAGCATACTTAATCTATTATGATTAACAGAAATATAAAATGATGGAATATGTGAGCACAATAATAAAAAAAATAATGTTTTAAATACATCAAACTAAGTGATGGGTGATTTTGAAAATAAATGGTGAAAATTATGGAAAAATGTGAACTGACTAATAAATATTGATACTTATGCACCACAATCATCTATATAAAGACTATAACTGTTCAAATCCCAAAGCAATAATATAGATTTTCATTTCAAATAAAAGATACATCTATAAATGTATGGATTTTAATTAATTTAAATTTCCACATTTAAAAAAAAAAAAAGTTATATTTAAATTATGGTGCCAAAACAATAAAAAAATAAGCTTCATAACAGCCACTAACAAAACTGATCTCCATATATAACAAAAAGAACAACTGTTTTCCAAATGTAGCTTATCCCTCTGAAGGTGATGAATGGATAAACTCAAAGAAATTTAAAAATGAGCCTGCCTTCCCGTACAAAATTTGCACACAAAAAATTTGACAAATGATAGAAAGCTTTTCAACTTGTAAAAGAAACAAATACCGTAACCATTAACAAAATGTTAAGATAACCAACCATCATATGAGTTCCTGTCAAACTGAATTGTTCCTTCAGCGTTATCATTCTTATCTATTCTTACAATTTTTGTATTCAGGGCTCCAAGGGCTGGCTTCATATCTAAGCTAAGTCCTTTTATCATAGTGTAGTTGTTGCTGAAGTTAATTTTTAAGTGTGAGTAGACAGGAAAAAAAATATTTAGCTATTAAAGGTTTATTTTATCATTAATAATTCCAAATCAAATTGCATTTATTTACAGTAATATCTGAAATATAGTAACATTTAGTAATTTTTATTCTTAGGGAATAAATGTTCCAATGGCTCAAGATAAAAATATTATTCAATATGACTTACTTGTCATTAACCAACTGAACTGATGTCAGATTAAGATAAAAATCCTCAGGACCCTCAGGAATGTCATCTGGCAAAATGTTTATTTCAATAATTTGATTTTCCATCCCTGCCTGAAAAGTCAAGATCCCAGCTGCAGGCAAAAAGTCAACATTGGATAAAGCAGTCCCTGAAGATGTAGAGTAAGCTACTTGAAGCTGTCCATATAAGCCTTTTGACCTTGTAACTGTGACACGTACCTAGAACAAAATTTGGATAATTCTTTTGAAAAAATTGCTTAAAGTTTTAAAACTTAACATCTCTTTTTTTAAAAATATATCTTCTTTATTGATATTTTCATCCACTAAAAATGGTACTGACTTACATTTCTTCTATATTGATATTTAAGCATGTACCATTTCTTCTATATTGATATTTAAGCATGTACCATTTCTTCTATATTGATATTTAAGCATGTACCATTTCTTCTATATTGATATTTAAGCATGTACCATTTCTTCTATATTGATATTTAAGCATGTACCATTTCTTCTATATTGATATTTAAGCATGTACCATTTCTTCTATATTGATATTTAAGCATGTACCATTTCTTCTATATTGATATTTAAGCATGTACCATTTCTTCTATATTGATATTTGCATCCACTGATTGTCTATAGACCTACATTTCCCTGATCCTCTGACACAACGATCATCACAGGTGAGGAAAACTCCACAAGGCCATGGGGGTAATCACTGGCAGCAAACAGAATGCTTGCTGTGGCCTCGCCTGTCTGAGCGGATATTGCAGCTCCAGATGAGGCTGAGGTAATTTGTAAGGTAAAGCTTTGATATAGTTCAGGTACGCTGTCATCCCTAGCCTGTTAGACAGTATAACATAAAATATATTTAAACAAGCACACACTCATGGAGAGCTTTTGCTATATGGTAGTTATTTAGGCAAAAGAATGTGCAATTGAATTTTTAATGAGTTTTGCATAATGGTTGACTATGCATGATGGACATAAATAACTTAAGCCTAATATGCATACATAGTTTATTACATGAACACATTGTAAAAATCACAGAATATTTTAATTAAACATGAAAATAGCTTGGAAGTATTAAAATATGATTTTTATGCAATTGTGGATGAATTTCAGAATAAGAATTATTTCTAATGTTATATTTTGCTTACATTAAATACACATTTATTAAATTTAATTTTTAAAGAAGATTCTACTTCATCTTAAAAATGTTATAATTTGTAAGGGGCTTAAGGTAAAAATTTTAAAGATACTGACCTGCAATATTATAGAAGCTGTCTGCTGCAGGTTGGCAAACTTCAAACTTCCTTCTACTTGTAGAAAAGAAGATAAATCCCTTGGTGTAAGTGACCATGTCACCACGACCTCACCAAATATTCCCTGACCTCTGGTCAGTCTAATTTCTACTTCTCCAGTGTAGCTGGGGCTGGACTCGCCCGGCTCCCCTACAATGACTGACCGAAATTCTGGTAAAATGGATATTGTACCGCTAGCACCAGGATCAGGGAGAATGATGACCTTGCAATCTCCATCTAAAAGAATGGCAAAAAATGTTGTTGAATTTAATCATAAACAGGGATGAATGGGTGGCTGTTTGTTTGACTTGTGGGATGAAGCTCAAACCTCAGAAACTCAAGGAAATAAATCAACGCAAATCCATGCTGTTAGGGTAAGAGGCATGGTGGCTCATTTAAGAGAATGAAAATCTTGAGATGGGATGCCAACAAAACCTTAATCAAACACCTTCCCGTCATTTTATTAAACACTATTTATTTTAAGTCAAATGATTTCCTTTATTTATCAACTCACCAAAAACAGCTGAAGAAGTTTATTTTATTGGCTATATCCTACCTGTGTTAGATATGTCTGCATTATTGTCTGCAGCAACAAGGGATATAGTAAATTCTTCTCTGCCTTCTAAAATATTGTCAGGTCTAGTCTGAAGTACAATTTGTTTTTCAGATTGACCCTTTAAATAAAAAAAAAATAGATTAATCCACTTTTATATAAACACATAATATTGATTATCCTAAACATCAACTTAATTGCTGGTTTTAATTTCCTAATATAAAATATTTAAGCTCTATAAGGTATATACTTACAATTATATCTATTAATATATGTTAAATAACTTACAATTAATGGGAAATTTACATTATATTTTCTACCTGAGCAAATACCAATATATATTCTACCTGAGCAAATAGTACTATATATTTTCTACCTGAAAAAAACAGCAATACATTTTATACCTGAACAATCAGCAGTATATTTTATACCTGAGCAAAC